AAAGTTAGGTAAACTACTACGAAAAGAAATATGTAATCATGAATATCAAAATTAGAGTTCTCACATATTTCTCACTACGAAAGTTATCTTTGAAAGTGACCATCAGAACGTACAATCTGATATCGAATATTATACCAGTTTTCAATCCAGTCTACCAGGACATATGACATGAGTAGTATTAACATCACTCATCATTAGCGCCCTCCTCTTAAATTACGTGCTGTTCTTACCATCGTGGCATTCTGTAGTTCATTCACCTTGATCGCTTTATCAGTTCGACTGCAATAGGCGCTGATGGTCGCCCGTCACTGGGCCAAGGACACTGAACACTGTAGAAATGACCCCCACTTAATCTTCAGAACGGTCGTATTTCCATCCTCAAATTATGCAGAATGCAAAGCATTTGGCGGTTATTATACAAAAACCTTATTAGTTACTATTTGAAAGCGCTATGCATTGACTATATGCTTGCGTTTTAATAATTACGCTTCAAAAAAACAACCTAAATATAATCTGTTAATCAACAGATATACAGGATGCAACGCTACACCACGCAGCGAACTGGTCAGTCAAATGACAGACCACTACCGGTATTTTGCCCATTACCCACTCAGATTTTATATGTAAGGGTGGTGGCTTTTGTACTACTAATGAGGTCATCTGCAGCTGGCTCGTTTCACCCTCGACTAAGCGATGGGCACTTATTGTAGCATAGCGTCATTTAAGTATACACAACGCGAAAAAGGCAGTCAATCAAGGACAGACCACCTATCACCCAGTAGAGCGACTGTTTTGGGTCATGTAATTAAATAGTTTCCATACTGTTTGAATATGATTAGCAGCGAACGAAGAAAAGAATCCACCTCCAGATCCATTTCATTTATCTATATGTAGATTTCATTATATACTTTTCTTGTTATTGTTTCTTCTTTCTTCTAAGCGGTAAACACTTTTATTTTGTAACAGCTGATATTGGTGTTAAAGTGCTTTAAATCATATTTTGTGTTCATGGACAATTACCAACCCTGTTGCTGTCAGACGAATTACGGAAGACAGACTTTAATTTGTTCAATTTTAGAGCATAGAGGCAAACCAGTCCGAGGCGTATGACACGCTGAGTACATTAACCATCGACCATTTAAGCAAGACCGATGCCGGGACCTACTTTTGTGCGGCATCGAACGAATACGGATCCGTGAGTTCTGCGGTGGAGCTTAAAGGCGAGAAAACAAAGACCATTTTCCTTACTTCTAATCAGTAAGCCTTTCAGTAGATACAAATGCCGCGGAAGAAATTGAAGAAGACTACGAACAAGAACCGGAAAGTCTATTCGATAGTATGCTTATGTTGTTCTAAGACCAGAACCAGCTGTTTGACTCATTATTTTACTTGGTTGTTCAGCACACAATATACTGGGGGTTAAAAGCGGAAAGTGTTTGAATCCATCCATGAAAGTGCCTTGTCGCCAGCAGGAGTTAGTGCCTATGCGACACATAAAATTTCATTTTCACAGCGGAAAATTAAAGGGCACTGCTGATACTGTTTTGCTGGAACTTCTCTAAATTAAGTTAAATAATTATTCGTTCATATGTTATTTAAAATGTCATAATTAGCAGCAGTTTTTGAAGGCGAACAGGGTGCTGTGTTTACCTTACTCATTTTTAGCCCGTTGTGGGAGGCGAATCGAATAATGGTTCATGCTTCTGTGTCTGTATTAACGGCATTTTTCCTAGAAGAAAGTTTTTTCGAGGCATCAGAAGCTGTCTTGGTATTTAGTTGTCACTCTCTCATAGGTTTTCACAGATCTGCATGGCCGTTACAATCATATAGAAGATGAGCTTTCCTATAAACGGAGCTGTAATGAACGGCGTGGCGTTTGAAAGATAGCTGCATAAACATGCAATACAGTAATATATCTAAGAACAGGTTGGCGACGGTATACCTCACTTCAATTCCGGTTGGTGAAATTACTCTTACAAAGAGTACATTAAACTTTATATTTATCCAACATACTCAAGGAGTACTAAACCTCCTTTTGATAATTTTGCGAATGCATGGGATGAATACTTGATGTTGAAATACTTTTGATGAGCAAGTCTTTGCTCTAGAAAATATGACGACAATGCACCTATACCGCGGAGTCGCCGGCTGACTAAATGATCTCCAAGCACACCACAGCAAAGGGTCGCTACTATAGAGCTGTGTACTGTGGTTGGATAGGATTCAGCTTATTATGGTTATACATTCTGTATCATTACATGTTCTGTTTAGTAGGAGTCCACTGTGTGAGTCAGATGCCTGCACATTCTTCGGTGTTCGGTTTCATATCGCCCTCTAAGATATCGCACCATTTTTTCTTTGGTCTGCCGTTCTTTTCTTCTCCGGCAGCATCAGTGCTTAGACCACATTTCCAACGCGCTCGTCAAATTTTCTTTTCATATTGCAGAACCGACGGAGCCTGCTTTCGATCAGCTTTTCTGAAACTGGTGCAACACCCAAAGGGCTTATTTTGAAGGTGTTCCGGATATTCTTTCTGCTGACACCAAAGACCATATTATCATTTGCATTCCTACCGAGTTTAGTTGTTGGTCGTACTTCTTCAAGGTATTTAAACACTAGGCTCCATAGAGAAATGCCGGTCTCACTAATATTCGATGCCCTCTTTAGTTTAATGGACATCTTATCCTCCTGTACAACGCTCACTTCTCTCGATATGAGCCATGTTATTTTCGACCCATTTCATAATTCGCTGTCGATTTCTCCATTGTATAGAAGGATGGAGCAAAGGGGCTTTAATTCTTGAGTTAAAGAATTCTTGGCATACAGCCCGCTGCTAATTAGTTGGAATACCCTATGTTCTCCTGACTGAAATATCTCGCCGTCTTTTCCAGCATTGCTAACGCTGAATCGAAAGCCCTTTTTTCTCAAGGATTCATCTCTATGCCTTGGCATTTGCTTCCATTAATTCTCTTCTTTGCATTCGCTGCTCAGCACTACGTCATCCATGTAAAGCATGTATTATGTGGTTGTTTTTT